AAAGAATGAGTAGTAGTTGAATGTGTTTCCAGGAAATCAAAATCAACTATGATTAAATAGTAGCTATCCAAAGCCAGAAGTGCAATTCCAAACGAAGAGCGATAAAGAAAAAAACTGAACCTCATCTAAAAAGAAAAAATGAGTGGTAGTTGAATGTGTTTCCAAGAAATCAAAATCAACTATGATTAAATAGTAGCCACCCAAAACCGGAAGTGCAATTCCAAACAAAAAGCAATGAAAAAAAAAACTGAACCTTACCTAAAAAGAAAAAATGAGTGATAGTTGAATGTGTTTTCAGAAAATCAAAATCAACTACAATAAAATAGTAGCTATCCAAAGCCGGAAGTGCAATTCCAAACGAAGAGCGATGAAGAAAAAAACTGAACCTCATCTAAAAAGAAAGAATGAGTAGTAGTTGAATGTGTTTTCAGGAAATCAAAATCAACTACGATTAAATAGTAGCCACCCAAAACCGGAAGTGCAATTCCAAATGAAGAAGCAACGAAGAAAAAAAACTAAAACTCACCTAGAAAGAAAGAAGAGTGGTAGTTGAATGTATTTCTAGGAAATCAAAATCAACTGCGATTAAATAGCAGCCACCCAAAGCTGGAAGTGCAATTCCAAATGAAGAAGCGACGAAGAAAAAACCTAGAAAAAAGAAAGAGTGGTAGTTAAATGTGTTTCCAGGAAATCAAAATCAACTACAATTAAATAGTAGCCATCCAAACCAGAAGTGCAATTCCAAACGAAGAAGCAACAAAGAAAAAACTGAAACTCACCTGAAAAAAAAAAGAAAAGTGATAGTTGAATGTTTTTAGGAAATCAAAATTAACTACAATTAAATAGTAGCTACCCAAAGTCGGAAGTGCAATTCCAAAGGAAGAAGCGATGAAAAAAAAACCGAATCTCACCTAAAAGAAAGAGAGTGGTAGTTGAATATGTTTCCAGAAAATCACAATCAACTACAATTAAATAGTAGCCACCCAAAGCCGGAAGTGCAATTCCAAAGGAAGCGACAAAAAAAAAAACAAAACTCATCTAGAAAAAAGAAAGAGTGGTAGTTGAATATATTTCCAGGAAATCAAAATCAACTACGATTAAATAGTAGCTACCCAAAACCAGAAGTGCAATTCCAAATGAAGAAGCAATAAAGAAAAAAACTGAACCTCACCTAAAAAAAAAAAAAGAAGAGTGGTAGCTGAATGTGTTTTTAGGAAATCAAAATCAACTACGATTAAATAGTAGCCACCCAAAGCCGAAAGTGCAATTCTAAATGAAGAAATGACGAAGAAGAAAGAAAGAAAGAGTGGTAGTTGAATGTTGGAAATAAAACGATAAATAGTGAGAAGCAAAGAGATGATGAAAAAGATAAAAAAAATAAAGTTAAAAAAAATGTATTATTAATGAAGATCATTATTTGGAATCGACATGCGTCATTTTGCGCAAGATCTTATATAATAATTTGTATAATATTTCACAATATTGCGCAATATATTGCGTAATATTACAGTTTTCTTACATTGCATAATTTATTGTGCAATATTACGCACTATTAAATTTGCTGATGTAGTTTGATTTGAATAGTATAAAACATATTTTTATATTTTTTATTTATATATAAAGTACTATAAAATTCTTTAGGATATAAAATAAAATTAATTATCTTTAAATAAGAAACTTATTTTTTTACTAAGCAAATCTTTCTTTTAATTTCTAAGTAAAGATGTAAAGCAGTATCTTGTATTCTAAATAGTGGTTAAAATGCTAAAATCAGCCTAGTAGATTATGAAATATAAGTATTTTTGTCTTTGTGATTATATGTTTTCTTCTTTATATAGTACCAGACAGCAAAAACTATCCACTTTTTTATATAAATATAAAAATGCTTATAACTTTTAAACAAATAACTTTAAAAAAAATCTGTCTTACAGATTTGTTGCTTTTAATCTAAGCTACAATTCTGTAAGACAGATTTTTATTTTTATTTTAAATTTAAAAGTTTTTAAAGTTTAAAATTTATAAATTTATATATAAAAACCAAAAATTTGACACTTATTATATAAAAAAAAGCATTTTTATATTTTTTAACTAATCAAATTTTTGTTATACAGAAATTAGCCAATCAGAATTATTATAAATTCTCAAATTTAGTGCTTTTTTTTAAAAAAATAGATAGTTTTTGCTGTTCAGTACTGTATAAATAAAGAAAAAAGTATATAGTTATGAAGACTAAAATACTTGTATCTTGCAATCTACCAGGCCAATTTTAGTGTTTTAACTGTCATTTTGATCACACAACACTCTTCTACAATATTATCTAAAAGCTGAAAAGAGATTTACTAAGCAAACTTTTAAAGATCACAATATTTTTTATAATTTTATTAATAAAATTATAGAAAATATTAAAATCTATAGAATTGTACTAATTAAACCTATCTTAATGTTCTATGTAAACTTGTTTTATGTATAAAATATATCATATTAGCATATATTTATTTTATAATTTTAAATTTTAGAGAAAAAATACTTAATTTTAAATTTTTAATCAAAAATTTCAAAATTAAATATCTTCCTTTTAACCTTTAAAATTATAAAATAAATGTATATGGATATAATGTATTTTTATATGCAAAACAAGTTTATTTAGAACATTAAAGTAGATTAATTAGTACTATTTTGTGAATTTTAATATTTTCCATAATTTTATTAATAAAATTATAGAAAATAATATAATTCTCAAACCATCATGGCTGTCTTTTTTTTTAGCTTTTTTCTTCTTGTTTCCTTTTTACGTTGTTTGTTTTTTTTAGTATCATTTAGTTTTAGACTTCCCCCTTTTTTAGTTTTTCTTTTATTTTGTATTTGTTTTGTTTTCTTTTGTTTTTTGTTAATAGTTCTTCTACCTAGGAGACTAGAAGAAGAAGGTTGGAAAAGAAGACGGTCATGATGGGCTGATGAACCAGGGCAGTGATCTGGAGTAGGCCTTTCTATAGCAGATTGACCCAAACCAGGGAGCTTGAACTCATCATTGGCAGGTTGCATATAGGTGCTAAGTTAGTATTTAGTTATACAAAGTAACTGGGTGAGTCACATTCCAGTTTTTTTGCCATGAGGCATAGTGTAACTCACTAATTTTTGAATTAGTAAAATGATATTAATAAAGCAGGACATATGACATGACTATCAATTTCCAAAAAAAAATATATGATTCTCAAATTTTACTAATAAAATCTACTTTTATACTCTAAGTAAACTTGTTTTATATATAAAACTATATTATATTAATATATATTTACCTTGTAATTTTAAAGTTTAAAGAAAAATGTTTAATTTTGAAAATTTTGATCAAAAATTCAAAATTAAGTATTTTTTTCTTAACTTTAAAAATTATAAGACAAATATATACAATATAATATAATTTTATTTGTAGAACAAAGTTACTTAGAATATAAAGATTTCATTAGTAAATATTTGTGAATAATATTATTTTCTATAATTTTATTAATAAAATTATGAAAAATATTAAAATCCACAAAATAGTACTAATTTAACCTACTTTAATGTTTTATATAATTTTGTTTTAGCAATAAAATTATATAATATATATATATATTTACCTTGTAATTTTAAATTTTAAAAGAAAAGATATTTAATTTTGAATTTTTGATCAAAATTTCAAAATTAACTATTTTTCTCTTAAACTTTAAAATTACAAGGTAAATATATATTAATATGATGTAGTTTTATATATAAAACAAGTTTACTTAAAGTATAAAGATAGGTTTCATTGATAAAATTTGAAAATCATATTATTTTCTATAATTTTATTAATAAAATTATAAAAAATATTAAAATTTACAAAATCATATTAATTAAACCTACTTAATATTCTAAATAAACTTGTTCTACACATAAAATTACATTATATCAGTATATGTTTATCTTGTAATTTTAAAGGTTAAGAGAAAGATGCTTAATTTTAGAATTTTCGATTAAAAATTCAAAATTAAGTATTTTTTCTCTTAAAATTTAAAATTATAAAGTAAATATATGCCAATATAATGTATTTTTATATATATAACAAGTTTATATAGAACATTAAAGTAGGTTTAATTAGTATGATTCTGCAAATTTTAATATTTTTCATAATTTTATTAATAAAATTATAAAAAATATTGTGATCTTTAAAAGTTTGCTTTTAACTTATACTCAACAACTCTTTCTGACGATTATCTGAACCAAAATTTCTCATGAAAGAAAAGTCAAGTTTGGATACTGGAGAGTAGGAAAGACCTGTAGTAGGTGGACAACAGAGTAGTTTTTATAAAAATCAATCTTTTTTGGTTTTATGGAAACTTCTTTATATATTCAACATGTGAGCCAAAAGCATCTTTATACAAGATAACTGGCTAAGGAAGTGTGCCCTTGTATATGAAATTTTGGTAAAGAATATAGCTTTTTTCTGTCGACGAAGTTTTCTGTTGCTAAATAACTGGGAAACAGTGAAGAACTTGCTATTCTTAAGCCATACTCTTTTACTTAGCCAAGTGACTCCTTTCTTACTTACTTCTGCTTTATTGCTGACCTTTCAAATTTTTTTACAAAAAGTAGGGAATTTGGCTTACCTCCTTCAAAAGATCAGCATTGTTTATATCCTAAATTCAGACAAACTTAGTAGAATACAACCATGTGTCTTATTTACTTGCGAATATGATGCTACTCTACATGACCTGGATCAGGGTCTTCGGTTAATGAGATATCCGAGATGGGCCAATAGTCGGATAGCGTATACAATAAAGCTTGCTTTACATTGAGATATACAATTGTTGTAGTTATTATATAATTTTTACTTTAACCTGGCACAGGTTATAATAGTGCTATCTTTTTTGTTTTCTTTTTTTGCATTTTCTTTTTATATTCCTCTTCATATTTGTTTTTGTTTTTTTTTACTATTTTTCTTTGTTTTTTCTTTTTCTCCTTTTTTATGTCATATTCGTTTTTTTTTTGTTTTTTTTTTTATTTCCCTTATTTCCTATGCCCCTTTAAAGAAGAAAAAATGTTAAGAAAAAGGCAATTTTGACAAAGCTAGCAATAAGCTTTCAGTGATTTTTTTGAAGAGTCATCTAGTAAGTTAGATGCCAGAGAAGAGTAAATTATTGCTGCAGCAGATTGCATTTGGGCATCTCTGAGCAGCCGTGTAAGTCTTTATTGAAGAGAAGGAAGAGTTGTTGGCAATAGCTGGGAACTTATGTATCTATTATGTATTCCTTATATAATAAAGGCAAGATTGCCAAATTAAAAAAAAAAATTTAAAAGTTTGCTTAGTAAATCTCTTTTTAGCTTTTAGGTAATATTGTAAAAGAGTGTTGTGTGATCAAAATAATAGCTAAACTGCTAAAATTGGCCTGGTAGATCACAAGATACAGGTATTTTAGTTTTCACAACTATATACTTTCTTCTTTATTTATATAAAAAAGAAAACATATAATTGCAAAGACAAAAATATTTATATCTCGTGATCTACCAGACTGATTTTAGCATTTTAACTACTATTTAGAGTACAAGATACTGCTTTATATCTTTACTTAAAAATTAAAAGAAAGGTTTGCTTAATAAAAAAAATAGGTTTCTTATTTAAAGATAATTAATTATATTTTTAAATTTTAAAGAATTTTACAATACTTTATATATAAATAAAATATAAAAATATATTTTATATTATTCAAACTCAAACTAGTTTGCAAACTTCAAACTAACTCAAATTAAATTTATAAATAAGGTTTAGTTTAGTTTGAGTTTGTAAAAAATAGATTTAAGTTTAGTTTGAGTTCAAAATTAATAAAATTTTAGATTTAAGTTTGGAGTTTAATCAAACTTAAACTCAAATCAAATCAAATCTAGAAGCACTAACATAACCTATACACCCCATGTAAGGTCTATATAACCTACAACCTAGACAACATATGGACTAGATGCTACAACAAAAGATCTTTGGAAGATCAATTTTTATGTTATAAATTTTATAATAAATTATAAAAAAATACAAACTTTAAAGTGCTATATTACAAATTTCATTAATACAACTACTTTAATATTTTAAGTGAAAATGATTCTAGTCTTATTCTAAATTGATTTGTATAAAAAAAAAAATTTGAAAATTTGTTAATTTTTCTCTTTTTTGTAGAACCCTGCCCATATAATTTATTTTTAGGGAACCTATTAGATTTATTTTTCTTCTTTGAAAAACATGTATTTAAAGGCATTATTTTTGCCTTTTTGTAATAACAAGTTTTTAAATTCTATAGTTCTTTATTAATTCTACTAAATAAATACATAAAATATATAATAAATACAAAACAATTTTTGTCTGAATACACTTCATATAAAACCCATTCCACTGGGCACTTGTTGTGACCATAATCTCTCTTAATTTTGATAAAGTAATTGGGATTTTTACTACAATATTTATTGGATTTTTGTATATAAAAAAAAATTAAGCTATTTAATTTTTTTGATTTTTTATTAGTTTTTGAAAAGTGACTAAATTTAGTACAAAAGTGTAAACCCAATCCATTAATAATTATAATTATAATAAAATAAGACAATTGAAATAGTTTGTTTAAACCTTAATTTGTCAGTAGTTATTAAATATTCAGTATAAACTGTTTCAATTTCAGAAGCCAAGTAAGTATCAGAGACATAAAAAATCATATGATAAGAGAAGTATAACGATAATTAGTTTAATATAATTGAAAGCCCGGCCCGATTTTAAATTTACAAAGTTTGTTAATTATGTGAATAATGTACTTTTGATAGTTCCGAACGTAGTGATAAATCTTAATAATACTGGTAAATACTGGTAAAGCTTTCATAATGTTGGTACAATAATCATGTACCAATCCATTATAAAATGTAATATTACATTACAATTTTGTAAGTTACGGTGCAATTTATTTGTAAAGTAAATGTAATTTATGTAATTTTCAACCCTAATTATGAGCTAGCCCGAATTGATTTCGGGTCTAAAAATCTGGGCAAGCCAAGTACCATTAAAGAATATAAAGAAATTATCGAAACATATCGATATAAAGTAATAAATCTACAATTATCTTATGAAGTGCATTTTTTAAAACCTGTCCTTTGACCAAACCCGGTAATTTGCGGGTCGGTCCAAGGTCGGTCCGGGTTTGATCGTATATATAATAAATAAATAAATAAATAGATAAAAATAAATATATAAATAAATAAATATATATATATATATAGTATATATATATATATATATATACTTAATTTAGAAACTTTTTTTTATTTTAAAATTTCGCTTAATCGAATCTAGTCATTTAATCCTAATTGGGCTTTAACGTTAACACCATTCACAAAATTCTCAAACCAGATTCACGAGTCCTAAAATCAATCAAACAGATTGTTTTAAACGGACAGACGCTTAAAATTTTAATAGTATAGAAGATATGACGATACATGACAATCAGAATTACAGAATTAAAGCATGCTATGTGAAGCTATATATCACTAGAAATGCTGATAATTTGCACCAATTGTTAGCATTAGAATTAGAGTACTGTAAATTCCAAACATCAACTATTTTTAAGCTATCTAGGAGAAATAGCATATCAGACGAGCGTTAAAATTGATCTAAATTTTTTATTGTTATCGTTATAATGACAACCTAACTATTTACTGCTTTTTTCGCATATAATGTATAACGTGGTTTTAGATCTTTGAACATTGTAACACATAATACCCAAATAACGTCTCGATAAGTGTTACACTTCATAAATTCTTTAAAGATTCCGATATATTAGGTATGGAAAATAAATTATAATACAGAAGTTTCATTCATATTGTCTGTTAAAACCGAGTAAATTGAATGTACTGTACATTAAAGATCATTTTTGGTTTAGTTAAACACTGACAGTAGGAAAAAGAAAAGGAAATTTCAAGCGTTTTTTAAAAATATAATTGTTCAATTCTCTTCACCAAAATTGTTAAACATCTACTTCTCTAAAAAGTTCACCATCTTCCAACATTTCCCATTCTTCATCATCCAAAGGAATATTATCACGTTTAGAACTGCTACCTCTTTTTATCCCACTTGATCTAGTTCGATTCTTTTTTCGTTTATTACGTTTATTCTTAGGTAAAAACCAAGTAATTCTGCAACAAAACTTTAATAAATCCCTACCAATACAAGTGCCGCAACAAAACATCCAACATATACCACTAAAAAATATGAGTACCATGAAAAAGATTAGTAAATAAAGTAACGGACCATCATCATTTTGTTGAGTTGCGAGGACCATTTTTTGTTGAAAGATATAAAAAATAAATTTTTTATTTTTTTAAATTTCCAAAACAATTATAATATAAATATGTGTAGTAGCGAATATATATATATATATATATAGTAGCGTATAGAGAAAGGGATTAAACTAAAAACAATTTCAGAAGTCAGCATAAATATATTTAAATGTTCGAGTAACACTGAATTTACAGTTTAATACGTATGTGTAACCCTACCGCTAATTATAATCGTTTATTACTGTATTATCAGTTATGTACTGTACGTACGACGTACCAGTACGTACGTACGTAAATGCGTTAACTGTTAAGTTTCAAAAATTGATATCTGATACGTATACGCATAACTTATATATATTGTAATATCATTATCAATTATTAAATGTTTTTCTTTACTATAGAATTGAGTTTCCTTTCCATTATATCAATTTCCTTCTTAAAAACAACGCATTTCACACCAATTTCACATTCGTCACCAAAAGCAATCATATTCATTAAATCATCTCTCATCTCACCAATTCTATCTTTTAATTCAATTCTTAATACCCATTTTTCACCTAATCTTCTAAAACTTTCATTTAAACCCCATTTATCAACTAAACTCCATTTTTTTTCAACTTCATCTAACCATTCCATAAATTCTTCAAATTTTAAATAAGCACCAGTTTTTTCTAAAATTATAGTTAATACAGCTTCACCTTCCTTATTTTGATCTTTTCCTAAACGTTGAATATCTTGTTTTAATGATTCACATTTTTGAAGTAATTGATTTTGAGAAGAAGTAAAAGATGAAGGATTTTTAGATTGATAACGTCGAATTTTTGAAATAAATATAAAAAATTCAGTAACATCATTTATAAAATATCTATGACTTGTAATTTTATGTAAAAATTCAGGATATTGATTATAAGTTTCAATATGAATTTTAAGTTGTTTATGAAGGTTCTTTAATTTTTTCCAGTGACATTGTTGAACTAAAATTGGAGAACCAGATGTAGAAGACGTAAGTAAACGCATGTTTTAGATTTTGTGTGAAAAAAAAAAAAAAAAAGTAAATTATAATTGTAATATATTATATATATATATTAATTGCATGAATAGAATAAATACGTAGAATTATCGATATCTGATATTGTTTTAGATTATAATACGTAGAATAATATTAATAACCTCATATCATATATAATATGTGAAACATAAACATAGTACATTTTGTATGCAAATTCGGATCTACTTCCGTACATAGTTAAATTATGAATTATGGTTTTAAAAAATTTCAGTTTATAAATATCGTAAAATTAAGACTTGAAAAGTGTTAATCATATGTACAATGGGAGTTCTGAGTCGTTTCAGGACATATGTACAATGGGAGTTCTGGTCGTTTCAGGACATAATGTAACGTAAATATGATATACGTATTATAAAATGAAGTTGAGTTAGGTGCAATAAAAGGGACAAATTAATATAAAATAAATTTTTCGGAAATTTGATTTTTGTACGTAACTCATTCTAAGATAAAAAAACGATATTAAAGATAATTAAACAATTAATAACTAAAAGTTATAGACTCGAAGATCATTATATAATAATTATAATTACGCTAATAAAGATAATTAAACAATTAAGAACTAAAAGTTATGGACTCGAAGATCATTATATTATAATAATTATAATACGTAATGCTAATAAAGCAATTGATAACGATAAACAAATATCTACCACATGATATTAAAATTTTTATTTATTAAAATATTAAATTCTTTTCAGTACGATAATACAAATTAGAAAGATACGCGAAATATCGATATAAAACTAACAATCTGGATTCGCATATATAAATCATAACTGTCTATCTTTTTTGTATATCCCGAACCTCCAACTAATTATAAACGAACACATGACGTTCTTTAATCTGTTGTTTAATGTCAATATTCAGTCGATTTATCAAAATTCCACATGTTATAGAAAAAATATGTGTAATCCAATTATGTAAATATCACAATTTTCCAGGGTGCCCGATACAATGATAACTTGATTTATTCACAACACTCATAACACCCATATGAAATCATAATTAATATTATAAATTGATTTAGATTTTTTTTTATTTGAAAAAAATTGGCATTTTTAGAGAAAGCATGATTTTTAACACCGTACGTACGCTAAAAAAACAGCCACAGTGCATATCTTATAAGAGAACGTACAGTATGCGCATAAGTCTTAAATAATTTAGGAGGTTACGTAATGTACTTTTTTTAATGAGGATTTTATTTACAAAAGATTCGTTTATTACTTGTAAAGATATACTGTAAATATCTTTTCTTTATGGTTCACAATGAGCTATTGTCGAGAAGCAGTCTAATCAATTTACACATTTAGGTTTAATTTTATAAATAAAGCTCTGTAAATTCGGATTGAGATATGCCTTATATATACTTTTTTTTTTAATACTTTGTAGATTTACTTTCGGAGGTTTTTTTTAAGTGATTCTTTAAAGCATATTTCACTAAAGCACAAATCATGAAAAATCATTATTCAGAAATACAGAACCCACTGCATTACTACGTAGCGTTTTAGTATACATAGCAGATAGAATGGAAAAAACTGAATTCACGTCAATAGTAATCAAGTAAATGGTCAAGTTTAGAGGAATAAAAGATATTAAAATGCTTATTTTCAGCTTCGGCCGTATTTAAATACACACCCGTAAGAAGGTAAATACAGTAAATAGTAATTATTATTTATTACATTTTTCAAAAATAAAAATTTACAAAAAAAATTACGAAAATTAATAAAGTTAAAATGAAGGTTATAGTAAATGAACAATGTTCACGAGCAAATTTTCTTTTGCACATTCTCTAACATTTAATTGGTTGATGTAATTCAGGATTCGTTATGAGCATATGATTTGCAAGTAAGAACATATTAGTTGGTAAGTCGCACCTTCCCTAAATCCTTCGAAGGCTTCGAAGAGTGTTGTTGTCATAAGGTTGCAAAAAAAAGAATATCAAATTGAAAGAAAAGAAAAAAAAAAAAAAGATCGCTGAACGATTATTATAAAAATTATTATCATAAATGATTCATATTATTCGAAAAATACATTTGGTTGCTCTACTTACACGTATGGACTGAACAGAACAAGACTTTGTTTTATGTTTAATTATCCAATAAATACTTAAATAAGTTACGAATGTGGACCCTGTTAAGATTCTTGCATACCAGATACGTATTAAAATACTACAGTATTCTTGTCTCATATCTTTGTATTGTGAGCCAGTTCTTCTTTTTCGAAATATTAAACACTAAACTTGAATACACTTACGTCGCTAAATACGTAATTATTACATCTAAAACTTTCTGGTGTATCGTACTATGCAAAAAAGGCCGACACAGCATTTCACATGATTTATCTTATCGACACAACATTAACGGATCTACTCAATTTCTTGAAGAAAGATATACCATGTGAAATGCTGTGTCGAAAGCAGGGACGCTGATTTTTTTTGTAGATTACAGCTGTTTTCATAAATTCAGGGAAAAATTAACCGTCGAATATTTGCCGATTCGTGATTTCTTTCGATAATGATAACTGCCGAATCAAAACTTATCGGCAGATATTCGGTCGGTCAATTTTTTGCCAGATGTCCCTGAATTTATGAAAACAGCGAAATTTTTTTTTTTTTTGATAACGAAAATTTTTTGGATTTGGCCGGGCAGTAGTTAATTTCATAATTCGGGCTATGTCACATGATTTTGAATTTTTGTCATTCCAGTCGATCAGATTAATAAGAATTAACAGACAACGTGATCTGTAACCAATCAAAAAAACGCTAAAATCATGCATAAAAATAATTATCGTTATAGAAAATAAATTCTACCAATAAAATGTACAGTCACAAAGATTTATTACAACGTATGAAAAAAAAAAATTCAATATAAGTACAAAGTGCAAAGGAGAATGATATCCTAGCTATAAAGAATCAAATCAGGTCCACTGATCAAATTATGTTCGTATCGTACAATAGAATAACAAATAACCGTCACACGAATTCTCTTGCTTCTTGGATAAGTCTTCAGTGACAAAATTACGCCCATTATTAATTATATACAGTATATATTAATTATGTATTTTTTAAAATATATCAAATTAAATAAAATTAAAATTAAATTAAATAAAAATAAAATAAAATTAAAAAGCAACTAACCCACAACACGGACAACAGCAATGAACGCAACAGTCGCCACATGAGGTACCCTAATATTCATAAAAAGATGTTATTTAAACCTTATTTTTCTTTCTTGTTTATTTAGAAATCTTACCGGAATGTTTCGCATACGCCTGATCATTCTACGATTTCTATATCCCATGAACCATGGCCCAATGAGATGTGACACTATCATATTTAAAATTATTATTATTAAAATTATTATTATTAAAATTATTATTACCATGTCTTATTATTTTATTGCTTATTATAACTTCATACCAATACCAATACTACAGTACTATACCAACCTGTACACCAAACTACACAATTTAAACAAAAACCGGATTCAGGATTCGTTTTATCTTTAATTCGACCCTATAATAATTCATCATAAATCATGTGAATAAAGCCTGCGAAAATGAACTTTTATCAAAACTCTTTATATAGTACTTACATAAGTAACACATGGACAGCAAAACGTAGTCGCGCCTTGTTAAATGTAGAAAAGTTGTATAATATGAAAAAAAATATGTTTGTCAGAATAATGAACAAGATTCAAATTTTTTTTAAATTTTTTCATTACATAGTCCACTATCGTCACAGCAGCCAAGTAGATTAAATCTCCATTCTCCCGGACTATCTTCGTCCCTCATCGGAGGTACTGTCATTTGTGCGGTTCCTCTATATGCCATTACTATTTTTTTTCTATTGGATAATAATAATAATTTTTCTAATTTTCTAATTTTTTTTTTTTTTTTTTAATATACAATTATTAGACTATGTGTATTTTTGTA